TATGTCGTTTACATGTAGCTAAACAGATATAGACAAGGAAGGTAATTTTTATTTTATTCTGCGAATTCATGAAATCGCGAACGCGTCAGATGAAACATAAACGTGAAAATTACAACCCTTGAAATTAATCTCCATATACAGTATTTATTGAAAAGTATTTAACCCTTAAATGTAATTGGAAGAATACCATCTAAGAAAGTACACTATGAGTATATTTTGGATTGACAGACATAGAATTAAAACAAAGTTCTTCATGATGTCACTCTTTCTTCACGTCAAGTTTAGGTAAAAAGGGAAAGGGAAAAAAGTTTGTAGTTTTATTTTAAGCCTCAGCTGCAATTTACAAAATTCAATTAAAAATAAAAAGTAGCTGTCCTTAGTGAAGCACTGAGCATTTTCATTCATTGTATATTGTTTTACGTCCCTTTCGAGAATATTTCACTCACGTCTGTCGTGACTCAGGGCCTCGGTTTTTAAGGTCTCATTTGAAGGACACGCAACTTTGAACTGCAAAGCGCTAGACGAAGGAACAGTTGCTACCGATTTTTATTAGACATAGGTGAGTCTCAGCCGAGATTCGAACTCACCAACTTCCGATCACAAAACGCTGAGCATTTTGACGGAAAAGTTGCGGGTCTCTTGGATGATCTTTTTTATGAGACCGTGTGTCACTGAAGGTGTTCACATGTTGAAGAACTCTCACTGGGAAAATGACAATTTATTCCTTAAATATGCTTAAATTTGAGATTACATATAGGTATATAATGATTTTTCTCTTAGTGTGAAAAAAAATATAGAAAAGTAAAACGACATTCGTTTATTTAATCAAATACACGTCCTTAAGGTAAGTCACTCCTGAAATTTGTTAAATCAAGGATTTTTTGAGAAGTATATTTTGGATAAGTACTCATTAAGTGTAACTCAAAATCGCAAAGAAAATAGGGGGTCAGTGTGCATCCTACTGATCTACGGTACCTTTAAGTTGACCTTTTTGCACTTAAATTTCATCTCTTTGGTTTATTACTTTAACCCTTATTATATTTGATCAGATGCAAGCATGGCAATAAATATAATCTTATTTTACCTGAAATAGTGTGAATAATATTTATCATTAAACAAATCTTGCAAATTAATGCGCGTAAATTATTGTGTGACCTTTTTGAACTAAAAAATAACATATTTGTGGGTATTCAAAAACTTATTACGCAATAAAAAATTTTCTTATATCAAACTTTTTCCGACTTAAGTGCTGATCAGTCACAAGTATCGAGTAGTTTAAAATAATGAAAGAAAAAGGTGGGGTCAGTAATGATAATTTTGAAATATTTGTCAAAATATGTGATTTTCAGGCAAAAAATGGTGTAAATTTGATTTTGACTTATTTATTATATTTTCATATTTTGGAAAAGTTTGTTGAGGGAAGGTGTAAAACTTGGTCTAAAAATATAAATTAAGACCTATATTAAAATTAAATATTTTTAGCAATATTAAAACGGAAAATATTCTCCGAGTAAAAGTATGTGAGGCTAAATTTCCATTACATTAAATTTTAAAAATGTGCAGATTTGCAGAATTTTCTGCTAAATATCCTTCCACCAAAAGAAATAGTCCCTCATAAATCTTGCTTGTTTGTAAATTTTTGACCATTTTTTTTCATTGAATGTTAAAAAATTTACATTGCTGAATTTAAATATGTTATAAAAATGGAATTTTAATAAGTAGTTTTGAAGCAAAAGCTTCTGCGTGAACTTTTCTAAAAATCTGACGAGTGACTTACCTTAAGTACAGTTAAGAAATAAATCAAATATTAAGCATGTTACACTACCCTAATAGAACTTTATAGTCTGTAACATCCAATTAGTGATTTGAAGTTTAATTTACTAATTAAGGACGATTGGTTAACTGATTGTTCTTTTACATTACATGCGATTGATTGATTGATTGTATATTGTTTAATTTTCCTCCCGAGAATTTTTTTCAATCATATGGAGACTCCACTATTAACCGGTGGAGAGTTGGAAATTTTGCCCTATACTCGGCACTAATAGCCATTAAGCAGGGAGGGATCTTTTTTGTGCCAGCACCTACTGCAGTTTATTCGGTCTCATCCGAAGGACCGGTCTCCACATCCCACAGTGGGAAGCTGCAACGTAAGGATCAACTCCTTACTTCGCGACAATAGAGCTGACGCTCTAACCAATGCGCCACGCAAGCGACACTTTGCATTCGAGACTTTTTTACTGAAATATTGAAACGCTATCATATATAGGGGAAGGACTTCAAATAAAGACCTATAATTATTCTGCCTGGACTGAAATTTAAAGAATGTTTACTCCTTTATCGTATCCCGTCTTTGAATATTACAGGGGGCCTTCTTTTCTTCCTTTTTTTAAATCCTCTATTCATTGCCTTTTCATTTATAAGATTGATGACTGTTTATTATATCTTTTTGAGACTTCTCTGAAAAAAAAAAGTGAATACTAGGTTAACATAAATCAATCGCTTCAAATTTTTTAGAGTTGCCTCATCTTTTTTTTTATTTCAATTTTGTCTTAGAAATAATTAGTTAATTCAAAGCAAAAGGACCTTTAATACTTATTGCAAAATTATTCTTTTCGCATAAAATCACGAATTACATTGGTAAGGTAGCGCTTACTCAGGTTTCAGAGGTCAGACATGAAATTTTATAAACTACGAGGGCTGTTCAATAAATAATATCCTGAACTGTATAACATACAATACAGATATCATATGGCATTAAACTTGACTTTCTCTTATTATTGAATCTTTACTGAATTTAAAACAGTTTATGTGACCACTTTTCATCACATAGTTTCATCGTGAGAAGCTTGGACACAAGGGCTTTTTCGAGACACTGCATTATAAATGAAAGGTGAAGAAACAGTAAACTAGAGTGAAAATAAAGTCTACATTAAAGCTGCTGTAAAACTTGTTAAAAATCCTAAAGAATTATTCACTGAAATATGTGTCATTTACAGCAACCGATGCCTCTTTTATAGACAAATGAGCAGGTGAATTTCAATGATATAAAATTATATAATGGGCATCAAAAATGGGTACCCTCCTTGCCAACAAAAATTATATCAACTTATGTACTGTTTGCCAAATTTCAACAAATAATATTTGAGGATGTATGATTGACTTTACGACACATCGGGAGTAATTTACACTGTTTTTAAGAAACGTTTGACAGTAAAATAGCTTAGTACTCAAAGGTCACCCTATATTTTGAAAAAAATGAGTGAAAAGGACAGTGTGAACGAAAGTCTTAACAATTATTTTAAAATATAAGTAATTGTAGTTATTAACGTTTGTTTTATATTGAAACAGATATTGGAACATGAATTTATTGCTTAATATCATCAAAACAAAATTTACCATAAGATGTACTTGATAAGAACGGCGAAGGTTTGACAATAGCAAAGTTATGTAAGAGCACAAAGAACGATTTATATGCAATATTCTCAATTATTAATGGTATTGTTGTTCAAATTCGTTTTCGGGGAGACAGTTTAATATCTGGAGGAGTCTAGAAAGCAATTCTTTTCCAAAAAAAATGAAAGGTTTATTAGAGGAAGAGCCCAGAATCAGGAATCCACTACATTGAATTTCTTCATCACAGCGTCCAAACCCGCATGCCCCGAAGAGTAAAGGGGTTTTCGGGATAAATAGAAAGTTAATGTTTTTTCACATTAGCAATATTTGCAAGATCTTTGACCTTTTGTCTTGTTTTTATTTCCTAACTTGATAAAAACACCTTTCAGAAGGAAAAAACAAGTCCAGGAAATCATTGCATCTGCCAATTTCCAGTATACTAAGGATCATGCCCAAAAATGAGTTCTAAAAACAATCAGAAATTGGATAAAAATGTTACGGACATGTGTTTGAATTGAAAGAGATTAATATGTAAAATAATGAAGACTAAATCATTGAAAAGCGTAGTTTGCTTCTTTCTGAGCACCGAGTACATTATTTATTGAACAGCCCTCGTATAATATGATAAATCAAAAAACTGTTCTTTATGGATAAGTTCTAACTTAAAATCAATTTAAAAATTAATATCTTATTTTTTGAACAAAATATACAGGCAAAAAATTAATAGATGGTGATGCAGCAGAAATTCGGACTAAATTTGCCATTTTTCATTTTTGTCAAAATGAATTATTTCTTGCAATATCAATTACAATGTAAACGTTCAATATATTTTAAAACATCATTTTGCAATTATTGTGTGTATTTAAGCATTTCAATTATTTCAAATAATCTAATGTTATAAAAAATATGAATTCAAAAATTTGAACAAAAATCATTTCAGACAATATACTTCAATAATTTAATCAGTGAAATATATATAACATTAATACCATTAGAAATAGACTCTAATCACTTATTTATATGAAGCAACGCTGTTCTGTTCCTATAACATTTCATTAGCTAAAGAGTTTTGGTGCTTGTAATCTTTTGTGTGCAAAGGAAGAACTGGTCATAGTGTGAAAAATAAGGTATTTTTCCAGAAATACTCAGGGGCCACTAGCATGAAAAGTAGGTCATTGACCTTATTTGAAATTGAAATTTAATACAAGAGTCATAGGCGTTCAATGTGCAGTAGGTGGTTTTTTGTTCTTATCAGTGGAATTTTTCCTATCATCTGATCTAATGTATACCTTAAAACATGTTCCCAAATTTCATTATGAGCATACTCTGTTTTTAGAACGTGATTGTAGAGCTGTCACGCCCGCTGTAGGTGAATATTTTACTAAAACAGTGAAGATGGACGACCATCAGTTTCTTGCCAATTGCATGAATACCGCCGGCCACGTTTGGACGGTAAATGTACAAATATGAAAAGTTCAAGTAATCAACAGTTCTTAAAAGGACTTTTGTTTGATTGCATTTTCTTGTAAGATAATATTGATGTGTCTTCAAAATGTCTGGCATTTCCTGAACATCTTCTTTTCTTCTTTTTCAAAATATTTTTGTTTGTTTGTTTAGATGATACAAAGAAGAGTTGATGGTTCTGTCAACTTTTACAGAGGATGGACTGAATACAAAAACGGATTTGGTGACCTCCACTCTGAGTCCTGGATTGGTGAGTTACAATCGATCAAAATTCTGTAAAAAGTACAAAAGGCAATACAAACCTTTTTGTGCAAATGACCCAATTCAAATTCAAATACACTACTGGAATTTTAGCTTAAAAGCTAGTCATATTTGATATTAGTCACTGAGTTTTGAGAGGAAAAGTTTGAGTAAAGATTCTTAAGGTCAAGATCTAGTAAATGAAAGGTGCCTACAGATTTATCAAACTTGAGAAATAAATTCCTTTATTGATGCTTTACAACTTTAGCTTGGTCAAATAAGGTGTTTCGGGGTATAATTTCAAAGTAAACAAGATGAAAAACTGTATTTTATACTGTCATTTTCAATGAAAAATTAAGGAAACCAGTCATGAATATGGGAGTTTTTTTCGTATTCGGCAAAAGAAATGTATCCAGATTGCCTACAGTCTCTCAGAAAACGGTAATTAGTATGTTCATGGCCTCTTCTTTAAATCAATATCAAATTTAATATAGGTATCCAGTTTACTTTTCATATGATTTCAAATTGAATGATATGAAATAACCTATTTTCTACATATTTCTGCTAGAGCCGTAAAGTACGGGAAAAAGAAAGTTGAAATTGATTATGACGTCATAATGGATCTAGCACCAAAAAATTAGTCTCAAGTTATTAACTAGATCTTGACCTTAACATAGCACAAAATAAGCAAGAAATCACATTTATATCTCAAAAAAATTATACAGTCATTTTGTACATATCAGATATAAGTTTAGAATATTTCAAGATCAAATTCTTACGTATGTATGTTATGTGGTTTAAGGACTTGATAACATCCGTTTGTTGGTCACCAATGGTTATACAGTTTTACGTGTGGAATTGGAATACGGTACAGAGTCGGTGTACGCTGAGTACAGTAGTTTCTATATAGCGGGGGAGAAAGACAACTACCGAATCCATGTGTCTGGCTACAGCGGAACAGCTGGTACGCTTGCCAGTTAACCTTTAAGTTTTCTATATGAAATCCAAATTAATACTACAATAGTAATTAAGGTCAAGATCTAATAAAAGTGAAAGACGCCTACAGATTTATCAAATTTTAAGAAAATATTCCATAAATGATGATTCATACGTTTAGCATGGTCAAATAAGGCGTTTATTAATAAGTAAATAATTTGTAGATAAACAAGATGAAACATCGTATTTTAAACTGTAATTTTCAATGAGAAATAAAGAAAATCAGTTATGCTTAGAGTAGTTTTTCAATATTGGACAACAAATATAACAAATGTAATTCTCACAAAATTTGTTATATTTATGTTTTTGTCCTTTTCTATTATATGAAATAATTTTTTTATAGCATTTGGGATTACTTTTTTTATGACTTCAAATTAAATTCAACGAACGATCTTTATTTCCTACATGCTGACTGACGCTTTTTTTTTTACTTATTTTCTATAATTTATACCTAATTTGACGACGGATTATTTTCTTTATTTCTCGAACATAACAAGAAGCACTCGGCGGGAGTGACTGGTCAGCAGGGAAAGATCACTTCTCTATAGCACCTGATCCCGTCTCCGATGTTTTGGAGGTTCTTGTTTGATCTGCTTCTATTTATACCCCCGGCTAAAAAATGGGAGGGTATATAGTTATCGGTATGTCCGTTCGCCCGTCCGTCCGTATGTCCATCCGTCCGTCTGTTACACTTCTCTTATCCGCAACTCCTCTGATACCACTAAAGGAAATATAATGAAACCTTTAAACAATCTTTAACACATATTGCCATTGTGACCTCCTATTTTACTTTTTGATCTGACATATATTTTGAATTTTCCAGAGCAAAACATGGATACCGCCATTATTTTCAAATGGAAGGCGAAGGGGTATTATTTTGTGAGCTCATTGCTCACAGTACCTCTAGTTTATACTGTTTTGTTGCTGTGACCTTCAACTTTGTAATATATCAGAAACAACACCGGAATATATTTTATATAGTTTATCTAATAAGCACAAATATATACAGCCTGACTACATTGGATATCAGTAAGCAAATAAGTGTCTTTGTACCAAAATCATTTTTTATTTTATAGTCTTCGGAGCCTGGGAATCAGGAAATGTAGGTGACTCAATTTCAGAATAATGTCAGTAGGAAACTGAACTCTGTGAGAGTCAGAGAGCTAACTTTGCTAACGTGTCAAATGAATTATAAACAGATTGTTATCAATTCTAGTAAATTCTAAAACATTACAAACTCTTCATTTAAATAAATCGATGACGCATTGTCAATTAACAAAGGTAATTTTTATTCCTACGTCGATATAATATATCCTGGTGAACTTGCGATAAAAGATACAGAGTCTGACAGATCTGTTTCATACTTGGATATTTTACTTGAAAAGGCCTTAATGGTAATCTTACAACCAAGCTATAAGATAAACGTGATGACTTTAACTTGTCTATCGTCAACTTCCCTTAGTTTTGCAGCATCATACCTTCATCACCTGGATATGGAATGTATATATCTCAGTTGATTCGATACGCAAGTGCATGTTCTAAGTGTGGACACTTTCTAAAATGGATAAAGGATTGACAAGCAAGTTTATGAAACAAGAATATCAGCAGTCTCGTTTAAAGTCATCATTCCATAACTTCTTTGGTCGATACAATGACCTTGTCAGCAAATACAATTTATTATTTGGTTAAATGCTGAATGACGCTTTCATTACGAATTGTTAGTATATTTTCATACATTGAATTGAAGACGGACTTTTCTGTTATTTCCCAATCATGACAAGAGCGGCTGTGACTGGTCAGCAGGGGACGCTCACTCCTCCATGACACCTGATCCAACCTCTGATGTTTCGGAGGTCCGTGTACATGTATGCTTTGCCCCTATTTTGAGTTCTGTTATGGACTTTGATATTGAATACTGTTCGTTATCTCCAGGCTCTACATTATTCTTTTAGAGCAGTAAAGTACGCAAAAAGTGAGTTTGATTACAATGTATGACATCATAATGGATCTAGTACCAACATAATAGTTTAAAGTCATGTACAAGATCTTGACCTTAAATAACAATAAAGTGTTTTAAAATATACTATGTCAGAAATTATACGTTACTTCAAATTTTACACGACTATTTGCAAGGACATTTTTTTTCTGTTTACAGGAGACGGAATTGCCTGTACTGTTAGGTGGTGCAACAATAATTCGCAGTTTTCAACCTTTGATAATGATAACGATGGTGAAAGTACTCGAAACAATGCGCAGACTTGGCGGGGTGCTTGGTGGTACAACGAGGGGCACCGGTCAAACCTTAACGGTGAATACGGCAATAACAATCATGGGGAAGGGATAAGCTGGTACTTCTTCAAAGGATGGACTGTGTCCTTGACACAAACTAGAATGATGCTTAGACGAGCATAAAACGTCCATGGTTGTAGAAAAACATTCAAAATATATAATGTTAAGATAGATTTACATGTACGTCAACCAGTGTGAAAAATTTCTTACTTGTGACTTTAATTGATAGTTATAATTTGAGATGGAGTAGGTTGGGTATAGCTGCAGAACTGTACCTCTCTGCTTGAAAACAATCGGACAGATTAAGCAGAGAGCTACAAATCCAAGCGTTGAAAAAACCCTCGATTTATTCCGACGATTTTTTGTCGCTCTTTATGGGTAGGTTTTCGTGTATTTTATACTTTTCTCAGTTTTGAAAATAATTTTAAATAGTATTTAATAATTAATCATACATTCAACTTCAATTCCTGGTCATTTACTTACCTCTCAACGCTAACAAATGGCTGTTTGTAGGCTAGTTACGGACGTCGAAATGGAACTCCTTTAAACCTACATTACAAAAATACTTGTACATGTACATACAGGACTTTTTCGGACCGTTAAAAAGTAAAAAACAATGTAACAAATATAAGAGTTAATTATATAAATTGCAATTCTAAAAGTCAGAGAAAGCTTAAACTACAAAAAATAAATACATAAAGCAGCGACAAAAAATCGTCGGTGTAAATCGAAGGTTTTTACAACACTTGGATGTATAGATCTCTGTTTTATCTGTCTGAATTTTCTCAAGCAGAGAGCTATAGTTCTGCAGCTAGGTTGGGTAGGAACGGGCCCACTGCTAACCGTTACTATTTACTCCTTTGATTTAGATAAAAAAATATTTATTGAAACACTGGTCATCAATCAATGGATCTTTTTTTCTCATCCCTAAGCCGCCCCGAACGACGTCTGGGACGACATATTGCGATTTTACGCATCTTTGTGTTCTCCAGGCTGTTTCTCGGATATACATGTAGCTGGGAGAATATTCCTGAATTTTTCCTCAAAGGACGATCACTGGTTGTAGTTTTGTTGTGTGGTCATTTAGATTGAAAATGACTACGTTGCCATTGAATCCTGCAAAAAGCAACGAATTTTGTCCACGAGTGTCCTCTCTGGTCCCTTGGACATTCTTCATGAAACTTTATTGATTTAATGATTAGTATCTGTAATTGTGCTTGTTGCATTTAAAAATTCCAAATTGTTAATAGTTGCAATGGAAACAGGGGGAAAGTAAAAATTTTTTAACTTCGATTTCTAAATCAAAGTAACGAAATGACTGATACGAGTTTATGGTTGTCCAAGCTAAGCTAAAGAGAATTGTTTTAGTGATGAAAAAAATAAAATTCTTGTCCAGTTTAGGGCGACATACGCTATTGCTTGCAATAACAGATTTTCTAGTTTAATTTACTTTTGTAATGGGGCTAAGATTTTTGCAGTTGTCATTTCTTTCCCTGATAACATCCCCTTCTCTTTTGTATTCAATGCTCCAAAATAACCTTGCATTATTATTTTTTTTTCGTTTTGATAGTGACTGAAGTATATCTGAAAATACAAAATTAACACATCTGGTCTTAATTAATTAAAATTCAACCCTTCTTTTTTTCATTGTATTTGTACATAATATACAGGGTATTAGCAAATGTTTATACACATGGATATATGAGGTGGTTTATTCCTTGAATTATATAATATACTGTAAATCTTTCACAATTGTGTTTGAAGTCCATAGGATGATTAAGGCATCTTTCCTGCGAAAGACAATATTTAACTCAACTCGCGCTTTCGACGCATCGTACTCATCGAATAGAAAATCGTCGCATTGGCCTCAGAATCTGCAGTAATTGTATATTTTTCCACTTTTCCAGAAAAAAAAGTTTAATACATATTTTTTACCCAAGAAGGTGAGTCAAATGCACATAAGACTTTATTTTTAATTTCAAAAGAAAAACATTCGATGACATTCGCAAATATTAATGTTTTCCAGACGTAAAAGTGGATCATTATAAGTATTAGAGAGATACCTGTGCTCGTAATAATTGGGCATGCATTAGGGTTTTTCTTTTTACAAATCATGACGAAAAATGCCAAAAAAAAAAACATCGAAAAATGATACTGTAATTTCATACAGTTTTATCTATTATTCGTCAACATACCCTTAAAATTCCAAAGCTGAGCTCCTCAAAAATTTGCAAGCGTAATGATTTTATTTTGTTTATTCCATGTGACTGCGCCGAAGCGATTTATGTGGCATATTTTTGGGGAAAAAAAATGAATGTTAAATCATGAGATATCGTTACTCTATATGAAGTGGCCCTTCTTGAATACATATAAAACTCAAAATTACCCTTGCAATGTAGTGTTTTGAACCCATTTTACGCTCAGGGAAGCTTTAACACTACTGCGCTCTATTGAAACATTTAATGGTCGTTTTCATTTCCAAGCATCACTTGGACTTGCCTCTCTTAATTTTTCACTATCGAATGTACTAGTACCTTATACAATGTAACGCTATCGAAATATTAAATAGTCGTTTTTGTGTCTAAGCATCACTTGTATTTGTCACATCCTAATTTGCCAACGCCAATTAACAGTTACCCCATTAATGCAATCACAATAATCCTTTACTTAAAATAATTATCCACTTCACGCGAGTT